TGATAACAATAACTATAACATGCTAAAAATCAAGAACAATGTAAAGAACACGGTTTGCTTAACAAGAGACTATGACATAGGATTCTCCTAACTTAATTTTTATTTAAACTATATTATTTGGGTCACAGTTTGGGAGTATTTTAGAGTAGCTCAAATCTCTCAATGTATGTAAGTTCTGCCCAAAAAATTTCATATGCCCAATGGCTGAACAACATAACCAAACAATATGCATGCCTCCATCTCTGCCCATGCGTTCATTTAAGGCAAGTGATACAGGAACATCCGCTGCCATTGCTGTGTATTAGTGTTTGTAACATATTATAGAACAACTATGACACTAATAAGAGTTTGTTTATAGAAAAAGAAACGAATATGGCAGTAAATAATATTGTCAGTTAATAAATGCTATATAAGCTACTGTGACAGATTTGAGTCTATTGAACCCCAAGCGTCAGAGCTTCTGATTTATATGGGCTCTTTCCAAGGTCTTATACATAACTTTGAATTTGTAATATTGCATTAATTTTCTTAGAGCATCCCCATACTTGATAAATCTTATATCTTCAAAATATAATATCTAATAGCTCATACTTTTATTTTTTTCTAAGTCCCTTATGTAGTAAAATTTCCACTTGTCTGCCCAGGACTATACAGAGATATTTGTGGAGAACAATAAATAGCTTTTTTCGGAGAATCATTCCATCCATACATAGCATATTTAAGATTTTTCACAACAAAAATGTGTGTGTTGTGCTTTTTGTATACACAGGTAATATTGAGTTAAATTTACCTTGTACTGAGATCTTCTTAGGATTAAAAGGTGTAGTCATTAGGGAAAACCATCACTACTAAAGTTGTAGTGATGTACTAAAATTGTTTGGAGAAAATGGTAGAAAAAAATAATAATACATGTCCTCAGGAGAGGCAAAAGAAATGGGGATTTTATAAACAGATAAAAGCAGTATCTTTTACATGGATATAGGCAAGAGGTGTTGATAGTCTTTTCCCTTGTGTTTTTTGTTTTTATTTTTAAGATTTATTTTATGGGCCCAGCACGCTTCCGCTGCACGACTCTGCTTATTTTTAAGATTTATTTTATTTATAAAAGCACTGGGGTATAGGCCAGAGGTGCGCGGGAGGGTGGGAGAATTCACCAGAGAGAGAGCCGGGAGCAGAACAGGCAGAAGGAATGAAATACACTGCAGAAGGGGCAGCGGGTGAGACAGGAGAGGTCTGCTGCACCATGTGGGAATCTCCCTGGCTGGCCGGGAATTGAACCCGCACTGCTGAGCCTGCGGACAGCTTGACAACACTGCGGGGCCCTCTCTTGTAGTTTTTATTCCAGTTAATATAAATATGATTTGGGGAAGGCTGTCCATAATTTATTTAATTTAGTTATGGATCTTCTTTGATTGTGAATTATTTTGGTGCACCAAAATATATAAAATGATGGAAATGCATTATATTTACATACACATACAAACACACATACACTATATTCAGTTATGATAATATAAACTTCTATATATGTCTATATCGTTTGTGTGTATACATATCTGAAGACCACACATCAAGTCCAGGAAATTTAACTTCTCTGGAAACACAATTTTATAATTATTAATTTTAAGTAATTTACCCATATTGACAAAAGCTCTACTCACTTGATATTAGACATTTTCTGGCATGGTCTTAAAATTAATGGTAGGCTAAAAGGAGTAACCATTTTTGTCAATAATTTTTGTGTAAGTCATTATCTATTTCTCACATTTTTCCAGACTCTTAGGGAAAGATCGATTTTGACTCATATTATCTTCAGTTTTAATTTTTACTTTTATCAAAGTGTTTTGGTTTCAAATAGAAGAGAAATGTTGGAGAATGTGCCACAAATATTTAGAATATTTCTTTAAATTATTTGTATACTATACTTAGTTCAACTAACTCTTATTAGCTTAATATATTTTAATGTTTCTTATGTTAATGATGATGGTAAATCATTTTCAATTAATTCCTTTATTATTTGTTGCCAAGAGAATTTTGCCATTGCCAGTATGAAGAATAATGCAGTTTGCATAGCTATGGATGATATTGGTCAAATATGAAAATATATCTGTCTTTGAAATTATTGTGAGTATATATGTAATTATGGGCTTTTTCCTAATTGTGTGGCATATTTGAAATACGTATTTTATTATGATAAATCATTTATTTAACCTAGCTAGTTTTGTAATTAGATATTTCACAACTAAATATCATGTATTTATTAGTTGTATTTTAAAGAGTGCAGAAGTGTTTGTCCAAAGAACCTATATAATTGGCATTTATTTTGCAATAAAATTCATAGTAAAAGTAAGTTGAAATTCTATTTGGTGCTTTATTGTTCCATTATGAACAGAGAAATATTTCTTATGGAACCAGTTCCTTTATATGATTTTTGAAAATAGCAAATAATCATTACTTGTTATATATTTTGACAGTTTAGTATTAAAAAAAAAAACAATTGTTATAAAACCAAAATTCAGATTACTATTAGAAATAGATCTGTTTCATTATTACTTACTACAGCAGAATTTATTTTTAGCATTTGGAATAGCCTGACTATTTTAGTATACTTTTTTTATTCTGACATTCATATACTCAATAAAATATTATTCTGTATGGCAAAGTAATGTCAGTCGCTAGAACTGACAATTTCATGTGAATAAAAGCTGGGCTTAGTAATTTGCTGAGTATTTGAGAACAAAACTAGTAACCTTCCCCTTTACTTATAAGTAGCAAGTGGTCCACAAATGGGGTTGCCCACGTGGACTTTAATATGAAGATCTGAAAATGTGTTGAATAGCTTATACTGTTTTTGGCATCTTGTGCTCCATATTCTCTCAATGTGGTGGGGGATTCAGTGGATTACAGGGAAACTAACCTGTGAGAGAAACATTGTTGCCTTAATGACACAAATTTTAAATGAGGATTCAGTATTAGGCTGATGTACTCACTTTCTAGGACAAACTATTGAAATGAATTTATAAGTACCCCCCAAACTCCCCACTATTCAGAATTTTCCTCTCATGCAAATGAAATGTCCAGTTCATAAGAGGCTAGAGAACTCAATTTTCATAATAATTTCCTTATTGAAAAAAATACAGAGATCACTGAGAAAAGAAATGCAAAGTTTCTATCAAATAAATGTAAAATATGCTAATAGAGTGATTGGAAAGTCAAATACATATGGAGGCTGACAGTGGGATTGCTTGGCTTTCTAATGTTACAGTGTGTGACAAAGATCAGAATTATTTGATACAGTAATTAGTTACCCTTTTTGTTCAAGTTCAACATAACAGTCCGTCCAATTGCCCAATACTTAATCCACACTCATTTACCTTTCTTTTCCTCATCTCTTTATTGATGTTTTTCATTCTTATAAATTCAAAGACATTAGATCACTCTTTGATTATATTGTATGATTTATTTTAGGTGTATTTTATGTTTTTTCATTAATTTAAGTAAAATATGATGGCTCTTTTGTGTTTTTTATGATAGGAATAAATCAGTAGGGTTTCAGCGAATAAAGTTAAAAACTCAATATTACTATTAGATTATCATTTATTTCTGTTATCTTCAGTCAATGTAATGTTTATATTTAAGCATAAAAAATTCTATATGCTATAATAAATAGTATGTAAAATAATTGAAACCATACTAAATTTTCAGTATTGTTTGAAACATTTAAAATAATATAATTGAATGAAAGAGAAAATTGGTTTTGAAAAGGGAGTTTGAATAATAGTGAGATGCTTGCTAATTTGGTGGACAAATTATAGGTGACTATGGATAAATAAATGTTTATTTTATTTTTTTTTTCTTTTTTTTTTTTCTTTTTTTTTTTTTATAGAGGCATGTTTTATTTATTTATTTGTTTGTTTGTTCGTTTGTTTCGTTTATACATGCACTGGGTACAGTCAGAAGCACGGGAGGGTGAGAGAATTCACCAGAGCCAGAGCCGGGAGCAGAGCAGGCAGAAGGACCGAAGTACACTGCTGAGGGGAGCAGCGGGCGGCAGGAGAGGTCTGCGCGCCATGTGGGACCCTCCTCTGGTGGCCGGGGAGCAGCCGGGGATCGAACCGGCGCCGCAGAGGCTGCGGGCAGCTTCGCAACCCAGCGCTCAACCGCTGCGCCACCGGGGAGGCCCTAAATGTTTATTTTAAACTGTAGGGGACATCTGGTATTTTAAACCTCAAATCTTAAATAGTTTACTACACTGAATGACACTTTTGATGTGAGTTTCAGTTTTATAGCAAAAATCATAAAGCTGTATTGTGAGAAATGGGAATAAATTCAGTAAAAATATTTCCAATTTTCAAAATACCATTGGGAAATGTCTACACAAATTGGCACCCAATAAAATTCAATAGAATGACAAGGTAATCATTCACCTAAACCTATCATAAGAACTCTAAAGCAGGACAGTCCTACTATATTTTATCACCAGATATATCTTTGATCTTTTTCTTTTACAACATGTGTATAGATTTTGGAAAAAAGTGTGAATACTGAGCTCACCAACACCACATAGTTATAATCAAATTAAACCTAAACAAAGACAAGACTCCTATATGATAAATAGATGGTTACTGTAAAATCAAGAGCTACTCCTTAAACTGAGTTTGGCTACAGGGCATTACAACCTATGAGAGGGAAGGGTGGTGGCTATACTAAGCCTCTCTATTATATTTACTTAAGAATACATGTCCACAATAGGAACTTTAGAATTTGGGAACTATAGTGGAGAAGAGGGTGCAGGACAGAGGGTACAACCCTTACTATAGGAGTAAGGGTGCAGTGTGTTGATTGTTACCTGGAGCCTGTAACTACCATAGTAAGAGCAGTAGGAAACATAACTGTCAGGTAAGACCAGATAATATCACCTGTGTCTCTTTATAGGAGAGGATATTATTTGTAGCCTTTGGTTGAAGTAATACAAAATACCTGCTTTACTCCCACCCAAGATCAGCACCAAGATAACAACAGAATACTCCCAGTAAGCAGTGTTTGAAGCACCTACATCCTAACAAAAGGAAAAGTGCACCAGAAAAAGACTACTGAAGAGGCAAAGAGAGTAAGTCTCAGTTTGTGACACTAATTCTATTCCACGCCATATCTTTTAAATCTAATCCACTATTGATGGGACTTACACTGTTTCCATGTCCTAGATGTTGAAATAATGTTACAATAAACATTATAGAACGTATAATTTTTTTTTTCATTTGATGGTTTCATGTTCTTCAGATAGATTCCCAAAAGTGGAATTGCTGGGTTACACAATATTTCCATTTTTACTCTTTTAAGGTAAATCTGGATTGCTTTTCCACAGTGGTTATACAAGTTTACATCCCCTTCAACAATGTGAAGCATTCCTCTGTCTCTACATCCTCTCAAACACTTCTTGTTTGAGTCTTTTTAATATGCGCCATGCTCACAAATGTGAGACGATTCCTCATTGTGATTTTGAGCTTCATCCCCCTTATTAGAGTGATGTTGAAAACCTTTCTCTACTTATTTTGGCCTTCTGAATATCCTCTTTGATGAGGATACTCTTTGTCTTTGCAGAACTGCTGCTCATACATTGATTTGGTTATTTGGTTTTTTTATTGTTAAATTGAAAGTTTTTTATATAACTTGGGCATGAACATATTGACAGTTGTGTTATATGTGAATATTTTGTCTTGTGCAGTAGGATATCTTTTTAACATACTTACATTTTCTTTCACTGTGTAACTATTATTATTTTTTTAATTTGAGGTAGTCCCAATAGTTTGTAGTATCTTCTATCAGTCTGTCATAATGGCTTTACCGTCAATTTGTATCCTGAACCTAAATGGTTTCCCCACTCCAACTCATTGTCAGTTCATGCTCACCAAGTTAAAATAAGCTGCAAAATGATCATTTAGAAATTTAAATCATATCTTGCTATTCTTATGTTCAAAACAAAATACTTGTATCACAATCATTAGTAAATTAATGAAACCCAAACTCTGTACAAAATATGACACTTTTCTGATTTTTACCACCTTCTTCTACACTTCCCATTGTCCCATTTATTTAAATCAAGTCATATTGTGTTCCAGTGTTTGCTCCAGTGGCACATTCTCAGTGAATGTCTCTAAGAACCCCTTATTTAAAATTGTCCACACTTTTCCCTTGCTTCTTCCTGTCATAGTATGCCTTATCTTCTTTTATTAGTTTCAAAGATTCATCAGTTTCTGACATTATATTATAAATGTATTTATCTGGATTTTTACTTCTAATTAAAAAATAAGTTTCATGAAGCCAAAATTTGACTTATTCATGTTATTTCCTATGTCTAAAAATGAAACTACCATATAAGTCAGTTATTCATGCTGAGTGAAAGAATTGCTATTGAAATTCTATATGTGCAATCATGATAAAAAGGAAAAATCAAAAACTACAATCTATTCATATGACATAATTGTGATAAAAGGGATTATTCAAAAACAGTCTGGACATTTTTAACAAAAAAAGAAAGTAAAATAGTTGGAGTTTTTAGTTACTTTCAAATTCACTAATTGTGTTATTCTTAATTTATATAGGCTTAGGTGCTATGGTTTTTCAATAAATTTTAGTATTTGATGGTTGAAACAATTCTGTTAGGATATGAGGCCACAATACTATCCATGTATGCAATATAATTTTTGTCTATATTATGTCATGGCTAAAAATATATTACAAGATTTTTTTAAATATTTTTTTCATATTTTAAGGTAAAAAAGTACAAAGTTGCACTTTCTTATTTTAACATTTTTTCTTAGTGAAATTACTTTTAATTCTCCCTCTGACTTCTTTTTATCTAAGTGTTGGCATATCAGACTCAGTGCAATTCTGCCTAAATAAATATGTGCTTAATACTTCTAATTAAACAGTAACTAGCACTGAAATTTGAGGCATATTTTATGACACTTATTATATTAAAACTTCATAAAAATAACACATATTGAGACTAAAATGAACTAAGACCAAAAAACATTTTTATGACCTTAGCTGCATAAAGTTACCATTGGAATCCATAACTTATAATTTGTCATTCTCAAAGGAAAAACAATAGCATTTTGAATATTTAATTGTAGAGGAAAAGAAAAAGGTAGATCTCTTTATATTTAACCTTGACATTTAAGATATCAAAATAGCCATTAATATTATGTGATAATTGGCTTATGGTTTTTACCTAATATTTCAATGAATAAATAAATGCGTTGGAAAGAATATATCTTCAGTCTTTTGCTTTGTGAGCAATTTAAAAACTATTTCTGACCCGGGGTCTCCCCGCTGGTTTAGTGGGTTGAGTGCAGCGCTGTGAAGCTGTCTGAAGCCTCTGCAGCGCAGGTGCGATTCCCGGCTGGCCAGGGAGATACCCACGTGGCATGGCACACCACTCCTGTCTTCCCGCTGCTCCTCTCAGCAGTGTTTTTGGTCTGTATGCCTGTTCTGCTCCCCACTCTGTCTCTGGTGAATTCTCTCACCCTCCCACACCTCTGGCCTGTACCCCAGTTCTTGTATAAACAAATAAGTCTTTAAAAAAAAACTAATTCTCACCCAATTTGACTTTTGGAGAAGTAACTTGAGGAACTAGACAAATATTCTAAAAAAAAAAAATGTTTCAAATAGCCAATTTCAGTCTTTCCCTTAAGAATTTCATAAAATCATCAAATGCAATCTCCCTGTTAGAATGTCAAACTAATAACCCATTTTTACGTTTTTTGTATAAAGCCATTATTGTATTCTTTATATAGATATAGACAGTTTTATGTAAACATAATTCTAAAACTTAAATAATATTTCAATATTTGAAAAGATGATTTTTTTAAAAAATCAGTTCTAATTTCATATTGAGATTTAACTTTTATTTCTCCTTCATTGCCACATAATTCAACATTTTTCCTACATTTATGTATGCAATATTACTAGGATATCAGTGTGATCAGATATTGCAAGCAATCACATTTTTAAAGTGCCATGTCTCATTTCCACTATGCACCAAATCTAATTTCTGCTATCAATCTAGTTCATTATAGCCTAACTTGGTTTTAAGTTCCATTTGACCATTAAGTGTATCAGTATTATGTCCTGTTATTCTCTTTCAGGCATAATCATTTTATCAAGTTAATAGTTTTATATACTCCTATAGTTTATCTTCAGCTTCACGGTGTAGCATCATCACCATCCTACATCTGCACAAAATCACCCTGTATGAATCTGCCACTCCATATGTCACATCATGCAAAGAGACTAAAATGGGCTTGAATTTGGATATTAGAGACACCCTGGAGACATTACACACACACACACACACACATCCACAGATACTGTTCAGGCCAATATTTAAATCTTTGCCTAGAGCTGTACCCCCACTCCATAGAAATATAATGAGAATGAAAACAGAAGTCCCCAAATTCAACCACACATTTTTTTTTCTTTTCTTGAGCAGTCTGTCCTGTTCTCCTTGTTGTGTTTCCTTTCTGTTTGTACTGGCAGTTGCCAGATGGGCTTTATTTTTAAATTTATGTATTTTATTTTGTGGCATACTCAATACCAGCTCTTACTTCTTTTCAATATAAATGCTTGGCACATTCTTAAATTGTATAAGGATCAGAGATTAGGAACATATAGAAGGAAAAGGCAATAAATAAGCATTTTTGTTACCCCAATATCAAGAATAAGTGAAGCATAGAATTATTATTAAAGTGAATCTTTGTACCCACTTGTGTTTCTTTTTAAGATTTATTGATTTGTGCATACAAGAACTGGGGTGCAGGCCAGAGATGCAGGGGGTGAGAGGATTCACCAGAGAAGAGTGGGGAACAGAACAGACTGAAATACACTGCTGAGGGGAGCAGCAGGCGAATCAGAAGAGGTCTGCTGTGCCATGTGGGTAGCTCTCTGGCATATGGGCAATGAAACTCCTGCTACAGTGGCTGCGGATAGCTTCATAGGTTGTGTCTTAACCCTTTGTGCCACCAGGGAGGCCCTTGAAAGATTTTTTATATAAGTACATTGATAGTATTAAAAGATAAATAGAATTTACAATTCAGTATATCCTAATATGTCTGTGTATATACCCCCTATTGTACCATTAAGTGTTTCAATATTATGTCCTGTTATTTTCTTTCAGGCATAATCATTTTATAAAGTTAATAGTTTTATATTCCCCTATAGTCTATCTTCAGCTTCATGGTGTAGGATCATCACCATCCTACATCTGCACAAAATAACCCTGTACAAATCTTAACGGTATACTTTAGTATATCCCCTAATGTCTGTGTGCTCTTTCTCAATTTCTTTCATCTTTACCTTCACCCAATCCTCTTCAAAATTCTCTCATCCTAAAGGTATATATATATATTTTTTTTCTTTCTGAATTCAACTTAAATGTTTATCTGACTCACAGAGGCAAAATTAGTTTCTCCCTTTCTGCTTTGCCATTTAAGTTCTATCATATCTCTTATGCCCCCTATCTACTTCTTTTTAATTATGCTAAAGTATAAGTATTAAATAGCAGTCTAAAGTTTATATTCTCTAACAAAATTATCTAATGCATAGTAAGAACTCAGTAATCTCAATAATAACTAATTTGCACAAAATGACATAAAATGTCACTAAATTCTCACTTTAAGACCATTGACTCCTGCTATCTATTGTACTGTACATTTAAGTGCAATTATTATCTACAACTATATATTAATAAATGAAGTTCTCACACAATAAGTGTCCTGAATATATGGTAACATGAAAGAAAATAAAATACAATAATACCAAAAGAAAACCTCAGGCTAGTATAGAAAACTCTTTGCTTTTGTGAGTGATGATGGAAAGAAAAATGCAACTTCATTTACTTGATAGAATGAAGATAAGAGTAATTAAATATAGCTGAAATTTAGTTTTCTCTAAGCTTCATTCCTTATCTTTATAAAATTGATTTGCAGTCTCAAAATCTCCTGTGTTAACAATTCTTTTACTCAGTTTCTCATCAATTACAACTAAAACACCTTAATATAGGGAGTCAACCAAAAATTTAATCCAGATTAAATTAGAGTATTT